TGCCTGAACTGCCAACCCTTGAGCCTGCCCTGCACGCGCCGAGCAACCTCCCCAACGGAGCTGTGGATATGGCCCTTGGTCGCCGAGATCTTGAAACCGATGTCCTCCAGGCTCTGGCGCGGCATGCAGGTGGCCCCGACCAGTATGTGCTGCGCCTGCGCTCTCTTGTCGTGGACCGCCAGCGTGATATCGTCGACCACCGCGTAGGCCTTCACCGACTGCCAGGCCTTCAGCATCGCGTCGAGCGGCTGGATGAGGACGACCCACAGGAGCGCGGTCGCGAAGGAGCATCCTGCCAAGAGCGAGAGGGCCACCTGGAACGCATCCGTCTTCCAGCGGTCCATGCGCAGCCTCCGCTTGATCCCGTAGAGCTGGAATGGGGCCTTGGTCCTCACCAGCGGGAAGCCCTCCTTGATCGCCGCATGCACCATCCCGCAATGCGTGACCCTCTCGTAGGCCTTGCTCAGGTCGAGCAACCCCGAGATGGAGACCAGCCCGAGGGTCTTGGAGTGGCCGGCATCGAAACTCTGGAGCCACGCCGCATCCTCGCAGGACTTCCCCGCGCCGCCGAAGAAGTAGCCTCTGTCCTTCGCCTGCCCCCAGCGCTTCGCCTCCTGGCGTCGCACCTTGCCCGGCAGCCTGACCAGCGACGCGATCGACCCGATCGGTCTCCAAGCGCCGTCGGGCTTGGCCAGGAGGAAGACGAAGACCTCCGCGATATGCGTGAGAACCTGGTCTCCGTCTCGGCGAGATGCAGCAGCGGGCTTAGCGCCAGGGCGCCGTCATCGGAGGGCCAGCCGAAGTGGCGCGGCTCGAGGCTGTCGACCCCAACCGCAATGCTCTTCTTGAAAAACCGCGCGGCGTCCAGGATGTCCTGCGGCGTCGGCGGCCGCGGCGGCCCCTCCAGCACGCCCTCATGCAGCGTCTCCTCGACGTCGAACCCATCGACGCCGTGGCGGCGCACCTGCTGGCGCTCCTCTGCGAGCGCTTGCAGCGCGCCCGCTATGCCCGCAGGTTGGCCCGCGGCTATCTGGTCAGCTGCCCAACCCACGGGGGCTCGGCAGAAACCGCGCGCTGCCCCACCACCGTCTCGAACTGCCGCCTGCGCCCACTCCCGCCAAGCCTTGGCGCGGGCCTCCGCTGCCTTCTGGTCGGAGGCCTGGGCCGCCCGGCGCGCGCAGCCCCCCGGCGCCTGGAGCTCGCCGAAGGTCCGGGCCCCTACCGAGCGAAGCTGCTGCGCCAGGCCCTTCTGCCGCAGCGCCTTCTGCGCCACCTCGAGGCCGATGTCCCCCGCCAGGCCCTGGCTAGCAAGCCCCCCTATAGCCTGGCGCGCAGCGCGGCCTGGGCGGCGAGCTTGCGCGGAATGAGATGCGGCATCCTCGACCTTCTCCCGGTGGCCAGCAGCTCCCAACACGTCGTGGCGACTCTTATCCAGACCTGCGCTTGCGGGCACCCTCTGGAATGCGCCGCCCGCCGCGCGACGCTGATCTCCTGCTCTGCGAAGTAAGCTGTGCGCCGCGCCCTCCGTGCTGAGCCTGCCCCCCCCCCTGCCAATCGAAGAGAGGCCGGCGATGTCCTCCTCTAGCAAGCCCGCGGAGCGCTCGTAGAGCTCGTCTAGACTGCCGGTGCCAAATCCTTCCTAAGCAACGCCATCAGGATGTTCGCCAGGGCCACTCGGCTGACGAACGCGAGTCCCCAGCCCACCTGGCCGAGGCCCAGCTTCGCCGCCAACCTGGGGCCCCTGCTTCCCCGCGACCTTCCCCAAATCGGTCGCAATCCTGCTAGGCCTGCCTCTCGTGCCCGGCTCCTCCGAAAACTGCGGCGACGGCGCCCTCAAAGTCAGCCTGGGGGCTACGCCCATCGGAGCGAACCTCGGGGGGCCCCCCGGCCAGGCAGCCCGAACGGCCTCGCGGCCTGTCCGCGGCGGGGGGGGCCCTATCCTGGCCCGCCAACCGCGGCCCAACACCGACAATCTCCGCGCTCTCGGTGACTTCTCCGCGCAGGCCAGTCACAGCTGCGCCCCAGCCCTCGTCGTATATCTAAGTCGCCACGCAACGTCCCGAGCGAGGCCCCGCCCCCATCGGCAGCGCGCAGGCAGGCCCCAAGACCGAGGGGCAGCTCGAACTGGGCGATGGCATGGAAGTCGTAGCGCGCGGCAATGCTCTTCCCCCCCTTCCAGCGATCCCGCCCCAGGAGACTGCCCCGTGGGCGCCCGCCTTAGGACAGCATGACGCGGGCCCTGCGGGATACTGCGACTGGGGCGGCGTCTCGGCCTTCCCTGGAGGGGCGAGCGCGCTGCCGGACGCAACTGCCAACTTCCCTCCAGCGCACCCTGCGGAAAGGCTTCCCTCGCGGGTCGCCTGACGCGCGACATGCACCTTCGGTCCGTCGTAGCTTCCAGGGCGCTGGTCGCCGAAGTCGCCCTCCAGCACGCCCTCCAGCGGCTCGGCGGGCCGAGCGCCCCCAGCGCACCCCGAGGCAGCTCCCCGCGGCGACTCCGAGGGCAACGACCACCCCCCCGTCGGGGGCCTCAGAGGGCGGGCCTCAACCGCCAGGGCTCCTCCACCCGCCGGCGGTCCCGCGACTGGGTGGGCGCCCTCCCCGACGTGCGCCTCAGGCTCTCGGCCTGCCGAGGTCTGCGCAGCCTCGGCGCCGATCGCTTCGGCCAGGCCCCGCGGCAAACCCTTCCGGCTGGGCGGCGCTCGCCGCGGCGCAACTAGCCTCTCAGCTGGATAGGCGCGGGGCGCCCTGTGGTGCAGCGACTTCCCCTGCGCCCTGGCGCCACCCAGCTGCAATCCCACGGGGCAGCGCGGGCTCGGGGAGCTGCCCAAGCGCTCGGCCCCCCGAGCCGAGGCTCCAAGGCTGCCTGACACCACGAGGAAGTCGACCCCCGCGCCGCCTCCCACTCCGCAGGCAGTCGCGCCCAAGGTGACCGCGAGACCCGAGACTCGCTCTGGCCAGCCCCGCGCGCCACTGATGATGCACGGGGCCCGCGCCGCCTCGAGGCGCCGGCCCAGCTGCGCCACTGGCGCCTCGCTCTCAAGGCCCAGCCTCCTGGCCGACACGAGGTAGAGCGAGGCCGCGAGGAAACCGCCCGGCACCGCAGCGCTGACCCAGCGGGCATCCACGCGGTCAGCTGGCAGTGGCGGGCCAGCAGGCGGCCGGCCCATGCCGAGGCGCGCGCGGCAGGCGATGCCCACGCCGCAGGACAGCCCTCCGCGCTCCGCGCGCCCAGCCTCCGCGAGGGAAGCCTTCTGGCCCTCCCTGAGGCAGGCCTGCTCGACCTCCGCCCTGGCGCCCGGCGCGGCCCCCGTCTCCTGGATGAAGAGGATGTCGCCATCGGCCCTTTCCTGGAGCCAGCGAGCCAACGGGGCACGCTGGACCTGGAGGCCCCGTCCTCCAGGCCCCTGCGCGCGGGCTCAGACGGAGCCTCTGGGCCGCGACCCCTTTCAGAGCTCGTCGTCGCCCTTGGCTGCCTCCTCGACCCCAGCGCCTGCGCCAGCCCCGCCTGGGAGTCGCAGCCGCTCCGGCAAGGGGCAGCCGCGCCTCGCCGGGAGCAGCTCGATCTCGCTCCGCTCGGCGGAATCGAGAGCAGCCGTCCTGAAGGCGAGCTCCGCGCCTCCCACGTCGGCGTCTGCCGCGCCGCCTCCGCCAGCCGCGTCGGCCACAACAGCAGCAGGAGGCTCAGCAACGCCCGCCCCATTCGCGGCGGCTGCCCGCGAGGCGGCTGCCTGGGCCGCGTCGATGCGGGCCTTGGTGGCCGATGCGGGCTGTCTGAGCAGCTCCGCCGCCTGGTTGAGCTGCACCGCCTCCTCGCCGTCGAACCTGCCCTTTGAGCTCCGCCGCGCACTGCGCCCCCAGCGTTGCCTGCGCCAGAACGTCGATGTCGGCGGCGCGCTGCTGCGCCAACTGCGCTGCCTCAGGATGCAGGCCCGCCTACTCAGCGCGGCGCGCAATCTCCAGCGGCATCTCGGCGCCCTCGTGCGCCACGGGCGCGGTGTCGCGGGCCGCCTTGGCCACGTCCAGCGCCTTCTGCGCGTCGGCCAGGAACTCGCGCGCCGCGTCGAGCCCCTTCTGGGCTCGCTCGAGCTTGGACGCGGCGTTCTTGACCTTCCACATGGCCGATTGCACCGCCGCGCGTTGCGTCTTCGGGGGCTCGGCCACGGGCAACTTGCCAGCCACCACCTCCAAGCCCAGCTTCTTCCTGGCGTCATCGTCGAGCATGAGCCCTCGCGCCGCCAGGGGCGCGACCGCCGAGGTCAGCTTGTCGCCCTCGCCGTCGTCGACCTCCACGACCTCTTCGGCAGGCTCTCGGAACCGCACCCGCCGAGGCTTGCATCCGCCATGCACCCAGCCACGCTCGCCAGTGTCTGGGCCAGGCTTGGCACCGCCGCCTGCTGCCTTGGCCTTGGCCTTGGCCCCCGGCTTCGGCGGGGTCCCAGGGCCCGCCGCGGCCGCCACCGCCCGCTGGCGGACCGCCAATGGCGCCGAGCCACCGCAGCCCCTGCAGTGGAGCCGGCTGGCCCAGTTGGCCGCCTCGCCGCAGCGGCAGCCCCGCAGCGGCAGCCCCGCAGCGGCAGCCTGGGGCCAGGGAGCACCCAACCCGCGGCCGCCGCAGCCGCGTCGCCGTTGCCGCGCGCCCCTCGGTGGGACGCGGCCCACAAGGGCGGCTTGCCATCGCGCGAGCCACAATGTATACGGAATCGTTGCATCTCTTGCCAGATTGGCACGCGCGCACGTGCCGCTCTGAAGTACGTGCGCGCAAGGCCCTCCCCTTCCCCTGCGGAAGAAAACGGATGAGCCCAGAACGGCGTTCCCCCTCCTCCTCCCCCTCCTCCTCCTCCTCCTCCTCCTCCTCCTCCTCCTCCTCCTCCTCCTCCTGCTCCTGCTCCTGCTCCTGCTCCTGCTCCTGCTGCTCCTCCTCCTCCTCCTCCTCCTCCTCCTCCTCCTCCTCCTCCTCCTCCTCCAAGAAGAGCGCCCCCGCCGCCCCCGCTCCCCGCCAGGCGGCCGCCACCTCCGTGGGCACCGCCGCTGGGTCTGGGGGCGCGACCTCGGGGCGCGGGGGGACTCGGGTCAGCGGTGTTCCTCTGCCCTCGTCCTCTGCTTCGCACGGGGGAAGCGGGTCTTGAGGGAAACGGATCCTGGACCCCGGGGCCTTCCTCTGAGACGAGACCTTCCTGCCGAGCCGTTTTCGAAGCGTCCAGGAGCCCATGGAGGGCCCCGAGGGCACGAAAACGGCGAAAAACCTCAGGACCCGTTTCCCTCACGACCCAGTCTATCCCATGGCGGCGAATGGGGTTTGGGGGGGAATCGGGCTGGCGGTGTTCCTCGGCCCTCCTCCTCCTCCTCCTCCTCCTCCTCCTCCTCCTCCTCCTCCTCCTCCTCCTCCTCCCCTCCCTCTCCTCCTCCTCCTCCTCCTCCTCCTCCTCCTCCCTCCTCCTCTCTCCTCCTCCTCCTCCTCCTCTCCTCCTCCTCCTCCTCCTCCTCCTCCTCCTCCTCCTCCTCCTCCTCCTCCTCCTCCTCCTGCCGCGTGGCCAAGAGGAGGGCGCGGGTCCTCGCTCTGCGCATGCCGCAGGAGCTCGTGGACCTTCCTCCTCATCGTCCTCTTCCTCCTCCTCCACCTCCTCCTCCTCCTCCTCCTCCTCCTCCTCCTCCTCCTCCTCCTTGTCCTCGGTCGCAATGAAAAGCTGGTGAGTTCGCAGCCAACCCGAGCAGGTGGCGATGAAATGGGCGCGGGAAAACCATGGAATGAATCAAGAGCGACCAAGCCCCAGGCGCACCACCCCCATCCGGCGGGATCCACTCCTCTGGAGCCTCTGGGGCCTCTGGGCGCGGGTCCCGCAACGCAAGACACGCACACTGAAATGGAATTCAATGGACGGGGAATGGCACCCCAACCTCCCTCTGCTGGTTGGGTCCGGGATCCACTCCTCCTCCTCCTCCTCCTCCTCCTCCTCCTCCTCCTCCTCCTCCTCCTCCTCCTCCTCCTCTTCCTCCTCCTTCTCCTTCTCCTCCTTCTCCTCCTTCTCCTCCTTCTCCTCATCCTCCCCCTCCTCCTCTGCTGCTGTAGCCCTTGCGGCCAAAAATCTCTGGCTCTCCGAGGACCAACTGAATACCGCTGATCCGCGGCGGTCCTCCGTGCCTTCGCCGGGGATCTCCCCAGGCTGGAACCGAGGAGGTCCGCCCTTCTTCGGTAGCTTTCGGTGAGCTCCCGTCGGAGCACGCCCGCCATTGCGGGCCGTCGGGAGCTTCGCAACCGTTCGTGACGAAGGGCGACCAAACGGCTGGGCGCTCTGCGCAGTGCGCGGAACACCGCTGGAACTTCAGGTTTAACACCGCGTGCCTTTACAGTCGGGCCGCTGAAACAAGGAAGCCCTTGTTTGGCCCCAGACGCGCCTGCGTGGACGAGGAGCCCTAGAGGAACAGCCATGGAAAGACCCAAGGAACATCCAGCCCCTTGCGAACCCGACCCGGCCCTTGCTTCAGCGTCCGGACTGGAGTGCGGCAGCGCGCTCATGCCCAAGCTCGCGAGAGCATCCGTGGGCCCGCTGAGCAGCGCGCGCGCCCGGCACGCCCGACCCCACCGAGGAGTCTCGAGGCAGACGGCCCTGCACGCCTACACTACCCGGAGCCGCAGCCCGTCGCCCGCCGGTGCGCTCGCCGTCGCCCGCCGGTATACGCTGCGGCGGCAGAGCGGCAGCGGCATGGCCGGGCCGGCGGCTCGCTCGAGGGCCGCGGGGAGCCCCGCCGGCCCGGTGGAGCTCGGGGGAGGGGGAGGGGGAGGAGGAGGGAGGAGAGAGGAGGGAGGAGGGAGGAGGGAGGAGGGGGGAGGACAAGCTAGGTGCGCTCGCGTCATATCTGACATCCAAGCCCCTAGCCCTCCCTCCCATCCCTTACCATGGCGCAGATCCCCTCTCTACTCGCACAGTCGGATGTCGAGCAGGGCAATGATCCCGATAGGGTACGCGATGCATTGTAGAGCACGGCATGGCATGGCGTAGAAGAGCACCGCAAAGCGTAGCATCAACCTAGCATTACATTGCATTGCATGCCGTGGCATGGCACGTGAAATGACGCCAGCGCTGCAGCGGGAGCACGAGTCGAAACGAGCGGAAGCGCGGAAATGAGGCCAGCGCTGCAGCGGGAGCACGATTCGAAACGAGCGGAAGCGCGGAAATGAGGCCAGCGCTGCAGCGGGAGCACGATTCGGAACGAGCGGGGCCCGAAAATGAGGCCGGCGCCTCAGTGAGAGCACCATGACTCCAGGGAAACCTGTGTGTAAAAAAACAGTACGCGGGGGGGGGGGGTCGAGCACTTTCAAACCGTCATCAGGGGAAGAGGGAGAGTAGTATTCATATTGAGCAATTGTGGAGGAGCAGGAGGAGGAGGAGGAGGAGGAGGAGGAGGAGGAGGAGGAGGAGGAGGAGGAGCACCTCGGGCCACGGCCCTCGGCTCGGAGCGGCGCTGGGCCTGCCTCGGCCGCAGCTCCGACGGCGCCGCCGCGCGCCCGCCGCCCGGGAGGCGGAGGCGTCGGCCACCCGCGCGGCGCGCGGGCCGGGGAGCGGCCCGCAGAGGTCCGGCGCGGGAGCGCTGCCAAGCAGGCGCGGGGGCGGTGGTCGCCGAGGCTGCACGGGAGCGGGGCCTGGTGCGGGGCGCGCCCCAGCGGCGCCTGCGGCAGGCCGCACTCCGGGAGGCTCCCTGCTCGATCTCGCAGCGGTCCTCGACGGGGGCTCGGGCCGAGTCGCGCCCGTCGACGGCGGGGTGCCCTCCACTGGAGGTCCTGGAGGCCCCATGGCGAGGAGCGCAGAGGAGCGGAGTCGCAGCAGGAGTGGCCCGGCGCCTGGCCACACCCGTCCGAAAAGAGGTGGCTCGGTGGCGGGCTGCTGACTTCCGTGGCGGCAGCAGTGGCCCACAGGCACTTCGCGGCGGGGTGGGGACCGCGGGCCCCGCACCCCCTCGTGACGCGCGTCCCCCCAAGACACTCGCTGCTGCGCCCCCGGGGGGGGGGAGCGCGACGAGCAGAGCAGGAGTCGGAGCTTCGAGATCGGTTCGCCCAGCACCCACGCGCACCGCGCGCCAGGGGAGGGGAGTTCCAGCGCCGATCCGGCAGACTACGAGCTGAACTCCGACAAGTTCTGTTGATGGCGGTGTTCTGAGCCAACTCTTGCCTCCTCCCCATCCCGTCCTCCTCCTCCACCTCCTCCTCCTCCTCCTCCCCCTCCTCCTCCTCCTCCTCCTCCCCCTCCGCCTCCTCTTCCTCCCCCTCTCCCTCCTCCTCCTCCTCCTCCTCCTCCTCCTCCGCCTCCTCCTCCTCCTCCTCCGCCTCCTCCTTCAGAGGGGGCGCATACGAAACAAGACTGCGTCGGCGCTTCGTCAAAACGTTATAATGTGTGTGAAGTGCGTGTGTGTGTGTTGTGTTGTGTTGTGCTGTGCTGTGCTGTGCTGTGCTTTGCTGTGTTGTGCTGTACTGTGTTGTGTGGTGCTGTGTTGTGTTGTGTTGTGGTGTGTTGTGTTGTGGTGTGCTGTGGTGTGTATATATGTGTGCTTTCCTTCTCACTTCCTCATATGTCATATTCCTCTTCCTCGTTCTAGCCTTACCCTGTTAACCATTCCGCGTTCTCCTCTGGCTTTTGCGGAGGCGCCTCCTTGGAAAGCCTGTTGGGGGCATCACGAAACCTCGTTGAGGGCTTCTTGGAGGCTTCTGGGAGCCTTTTGGGGACTTCTGTGGGCTTCTACGGTCCACCTTGCTACGAACCACGGTTTCCCTCAACGGCCGGGTCACGATTTGACGTGCTTCGGAGGGGCGTCTTGAGCCATCTTGGGCCGTCACGGGACTCTCTTCGGGTCATCTTGGGGCCCTGTTGGGCCGTCTTGGGCTCTCTGGGGCTGTCTGCACGCCCTTCGGGGCCATTGTGGGAAGACGTCCGAGGCATCGTGGGCGGTCTCGTACGCCCAGGCGACCGGAGAACCGAAGCATCACACAAGCGACATATGAAAGTCAATGGCTTCTTGCGGTTGGGAGGCCTCTTGGGGATATTATTTGGGCCTTCTTCGGGCGTCTGGCGAGTGTCTGGGGCCGAAGGGGGCTCTCGCGGGGCCGTTTGCCCACCTTCCTGACCGCTTTTGGCCCGCTTGCTAAACCTGGCAGGGGCGCCCAGGCGGTCAGGAAGTCGTGGGTCCCTGGGGCCAGGGATCGGAGGGGGGGGGGGGGGGGCAGGTTGGCTTGGGGAGGCGCAGTTTGGTTTGAGGGGGGGGGCATACGAAGAGAGGGGGAGAAAGAGAGAGAGAGGGATAAATAGAGAGAGAGAGAGAGAAGCGAGAGAGAGATAGAGAGAGAGAGAGAGAGAAAATGTAGAATGGTGCAAAAAGGGGCGGAGAGAGAGTGCCGCCAAGCAGGCGAGACGAAGGAGGAACAGGTCCCCATGGGGCCACGGGACGTGTGAGGGGTACGCCGCCATGGGCGCGGGGCCGTTTGGTGGCATCTCCCAGTCGCGTCTCCTGGTGGCGTAGATCTTCATCATCGGCATGACGTTGCTGATGGTGTTGGTGACGTGGTCGTTGCAGTCCTGGTTCGCGCCCTTCCTCTTGGGTGTCTTCTGCTGTTGAGGTGGGGGCTTTACCTTGCCCTTGCCCTTGTTGCTTTTGTGATTGCCCTTTTGGCTCTGGCTGTCGGCGTCGAACTCGTTCTTGGTGGCGTTTCCCTTGCCACTGTGGTTGTTGCCTTTCCCGCTGTTGGTCTGGTTCCAATAGTTGTCGGGGTGGTCCGTCGCCCACTGGTCCGTCCAGTTGGCCCGACGTCGATCTCCATGGCGGAGGCGCAGTTCCTGATCCACTCGCGGTTGTTCCCCGTGGCGCTGCCGTGGCCCAGGACTGGTGCTCGAGGTGATCGTAGTGGTGGTCGCTGGGAGCTGTGGTGAGCGGTGAGGAGTGCCTGTACGCTGGCGACGCGCAACAAGACTCGCGCGTCGGCACGCGCCCTCCGCGGCCGCCTGTGCTGGGCGGGACTGCGGGACCTCTGCGCCCTCGATGCCGTTGTAGCTGACGGTAGGCGCGGGGCCACAGCGGCCACTGGCCATCGCTCGGGCGTCCATTCCCTGTGTTTTTACCCGGCTTCGTGCCTGGCCTTTTCGCCAAACGGTCAAGGATGCTCCTCGATGGTCCTCGTCGAAGGAAAAAGTTTGGGGGGCGGAAAGATACGGATACGTGTTGTCCCCGGACCTCTCTTGGGGTGCGTTCTGACCAGAATTTCGAGGCGAATCCAGCGGTGACAACGAGGATTCCCCAGGAGGACCAGGAAAGGCCGAAAACGAAGGGGGACAACACGTATCCGTATCTTTTTCTCCCCCGAAAAGTGCACGCGTCCGAGCGATGCCAAGGCCAGCGAGAAGAGAGGCGCTCAGGATGTGGAAGCTGTGGTGGCTGTTGCGGCCGCCGCGGTCCTGCGGGCGAGCGCGCTGGCCACCGCCCCGAAAGCTGAGGGCCTGTGCCTCAGGGGGGGGGGGGGCTCTCCTCCTCCTCCTCCTCCTCCTCCTCCTCCTCCTCCTCCTCCTCCTCCTCCTCCTCCTCCTCCTACTCCTACTCTTACTGCTCCTCCTCCTCCTCCTCCTCCTCCTCCTCCTCCTCCTCCTTGTCCTCGTTCTCGTTCTCGTTCTCGTTCTCGTTCTCGTTCTCGTTCTCGTTCTCGTTTCGTTCTCGTCCTCCTCCTCCTCCTCCTCCTCCTCCTCCTCCTCCTCCTCCTCGCGACCCCTCCCTCTCCCCCCCCCCCTGGACCGTCCCGCCGGCCGCGCCAAGCTTCACGAGGGTGCCTCGGGCGGCGCCGGGGCGGCTGGAGCTGCGACGAAGGCAAGAGGAGGCCTGCCTGGTGCGGCTTCCCGACGCCCTCCCCCTCCTCTTGCTCAACCGTCCTCGTACTCATCCGTGCTCCATCTCCTCACCCCTCCTCTTCCTCATCTTCCTACCCCTCCTTCCCCGAGGTGGTGCGCATGGGCGGGCGAGACTCTGAGATGGCAGAGCGCTGGATCGTGCCCGCCGCGAGGGGGGCGCGCGCGGTTCTGAGCATCGTCGCATATCACTTATCTGGTCGGCCTTCTGGCCCGAGCGATGGGATGCGTGCCGAAGGATGCAATGATCTGGCTGGCATGTATCGGACTGCGCCTGGAAAAGCCAACGGAATGAGCCGCGCTGCCTACTGTGCCCCTGCCCTGGCGCGGCCCGCCGGCCTTCCGAACGCGCTGGCGACCGCCCTCGCTTCTGACCAGCACACATTGGCGGGTGGCGGTGTGCGAGATGCCACCGTGATCGCTCTGGTGACGCGTGCCAAGCCGGCTGGGCCTTGAGACGGGGCAGCGCAGGGCCAAGGAGGCAAAGCAGGGGCAAGGGGCCAGAGAGGTCGGCCAAGGTCGATGATACTCAGAGTGCGTGTTAGCGCCAGCCTGTGCTGGTCCACCAGCGCCCTTCGACACGACGCAGGCGGTGCAACAAAGGCCGACTCAAGCTGCGTGCCGTCGGTGGAGCTGAACAAGGTAAACTCAAAATGGGCCATTACACGTCCTCAGGCACGCCCGGAGGGCTCCACATCGGGAAAAGGGCAGAAGCCAAGGCCATGGGACCTGGCACGAGTCAGTCCCCTGGACGGCTGCCTCTCGCACGTCTGCGTGGCGTCATGGGAGGTTCGCCGTCGTTCGGAGGCGGTGCTGGTCCTGCCACTGGGCCCCCCCTCATGAACTCTAAGGTCAACCCGCTCCCTCACAAGTCGGGTTGTGCAGAGTTCTTGGCCAGCTTCGGCGTGAGATGAGCAACTCACTTAAACTCCCCGCGCATTGCTCCGTTGCTCCCCCTCTCGTGTTCCTGATCGTGCTGCAGCCTCCACTCCTACCCCGTCCTCCCTGCTCCTCCTTCCACTCCTCCTGCTCCTCCTCCTGCTCCTCCTCCTCCTCCTCCTCCTCCTCCTCCTCCTCCTCCTCCCTCCTCCCTCCTCCGTCCTTGCCTCCTCCTCCCTTTCCTCCTCCCTTGCCCCCTCCTCCCTTTCCTCCTCCTTTGCCTCCTCCTCCTCCTGCTGACGCTGACGCTGAAGGCTGGCGTGCTCACCCCTCCTCCCTCTCCTCCTCCTGCTCTCCCTCCTCCCTCCCTCCCTCCCTCCCTCCCTCCTCCCTCCCCTTCCAATACCACCATCAGCCGCTTGCTCCTCCTCCTCCTCCTCCTCCTCCTCCTCCTCCTCCTGCTCCTCCGCCCCCTCCACCTCCTCCGCCTCCTCCACCTCCTCCTCCGCCTCGTCGTCGTCGTCCTCCTCCTCCTCCTCGATCCCCCATCGATCCTCACCCTTCCGAGGCGGGCGGGGGCGGCGCCCAGCGACAGCTCGTGGATCAGCTTCTCGGCCTGCAGGACCCCCTCGAGCGACCCCGAGATGGAGCAGGGGCGCTGGCCCTGGGCTGCTCGGGGAGGCGGGAGGGACTCTAGGGGCGCCCCCCTCGCTCGGGGGGGGACCAGGGAGGGAGGGGGGGCGGCGTCGGCGAGCAGGAGGAGAGGGGGGGAGCAGGGGGAGGAGGAAGCGAAGGAGGAGGGAGGAGGAGGAGGAGGAGGAGGAGGAGGAGGAGGAGGAGGAGGAGGAGGAGGGAGAGCGGGGGGAGGAGGAAGCGAATGAAGAGGAGGAGGAGGGGGAGGAGGAGGAAGAGGAGGAGGAAGAGGAGGAGGAGGAGGAGGAGGAGGACCGCTCCGATGACCAGTGGTCAGTTTCAAAAAAACAGTGGCCTCCCGTTGTAGGAGGGTTGGAAGTGGGCCTCAAACTAGGCCCTTCATGAACTTCTTGTCCAGAAAATTCTGACCAGCGGGAGTGCGCGCCTGGCACTCCTTCAATAAGTTATGACTGCTGCGTGTGGCGTGGGACCCACAACTCGAGCACAGGAAGGCCCCTCGCTGTGTGACCACCATCTCGTGCGACGGGTGCAGGAACGAGGCCCCGAAGAAGACCCCGCGCACAGATTTCACGCCGTGGACAAGTCCAGACCAGGGCTCGGCGGGCACACAGGGGGTTCTCAGAAAATCCTGTGAGGGCTTTGCCCCGTGCGAATTGATCGAGGCCACCGACAAGCACTTCACGCATTGAAACCTATTACCTGCTTCTACTGGCTGCATCTCATGGCGACTGTCCGCCATGAGCTTGGCCATCTTTGGGCCGAGGATCAGCTTTGGACCAGGGGCCTTGGGCCTCGGCTTCGGGCGAGGCCGACGAGGGATCCTGGGACCAACATCCTGAGACTGCTCGGCATATCTACTTAGGAAAACGTAGGAGGCTCGGTTCCTTGTGCTCTTGGAAAGGGCGAGGCCGAGCTCAACGGTTTCTACCTCACCTGGGGATAACTGACACCTAACTACGACATCGTCTGCTAGTTTGTCCGCTAAATAGTTGCCTACAAATGCGAGCACAGGCGTGCCTTTCAGAGCGGCTCTTTCAGCAGGCATATGCGATTCTATCTTCAAGACGCTGATCGACCGACAATCGACTGCTGCTCGGACTCTCTTCCACTCGTTTCTGTACGTAGCTACGAACATGCTGTGCTGCATCTTCTGGAAACCTTGGGAAACATACGCACTATCTGTGACGTAGATCAAGTAGGGGCCCTCAGGGGAGTCCTCCAGAAACTTCAGGAAGGCCGACAACTCCCCGTGATTTATAGTCTGCTCGTTCCAGACTGCTCCTGGAACTTGCCTGGCCACTTCTAGTTGTGGCTCCAGCTCGGAGATGTCGAACGGCCTGAACACAATGTATGCCCAGGCCACTCTCCGAAAAAAAGGTCGGATGACGTATGCTTCCCGCCAGACGCGTCACCCGCTCCAACCAAGATGCCCGAGGAGACTGGAAATTCGCCATGTGCGTGAAACTCGGCGTCTTCCTCGTGCGGTGGAGGGGTCACTGGTGTCCATGCAGCAGGCGTGACACCTCGCAGCCATAAGGACGGCTGGGCCTCGTGCTGTGTGTAAGCGCGGGGCAGTAGAAAGTCGGTCGACTTGACCGCGGGCAGCTCGTTGTTACATCTGCATCCCCATATCCGGTGGAAGGTGTTCGCATTCTCATCCCCACATCTATCACACAGCTCTGAATAACCATCAGGCAGTTGACAAACTTGCTCGATGCGGGTGCGAGGCCACTGGCCTCCCGTGAAAACTGTGAGCAGAGATCATGCCCACGCGTACTGATCGGCTGCTCTAGCAACCTTCAACTGTCTGCGTATGTCTTCGAAGTATACTCCTGCTGCTACGTCTTCGCTCTCGTGATGGCTTGCTGCTTTCCTCCAGATCCTCCTCCTGACAGAACTGGCTAGTTCCCGCTTGAGGTCGTTTATGTTGAAACCCTTTGATTCGAGTATCTCCTCCGTCGCCAAAAACTGCTCCCCTTGGTCCGAAGTCCAGTCCCAAGGCCCCGTGGGATCCCAATTGAGGTCCAAGAGAATATTGATGATGGCCCTCGTGGGGCCCGTAACTTTCCTCCAGCGATGCCGAGGTCGAGCGCGAGCTCGAGAGAGATGGACGTCCCAATCTCGAAGGGCTAGAGCACGAGCTCGAGCTCCTGATGTGATAACAGTAAGCCAAGAATCTAAAGATCGCCAAACTTGCGCCACTGCAGGATCCTTGTCGCCCAGCTCGACCTGTAGCAACGTGTCCAGACAGCGGCCTCTAAAGGTACTGGAAAGAGTCTTGCCCAGCGCTCGCCGCCAGGCCTGAACTGAAGACGGAGGCATTCCATAGACGGTTGCATCGTAATATGCTTTAGCCAAGCTACCTTGCTGGACTACGCGACGAGCTGCTGCACGACCACGACGACCCGATGCTGCTAACTTTCCTGCTGCTCTTACTTGCTGCCAAGCTTGCCGACGACGTATTGCAGCTTTAGGTCTAGCTCTCATATCCCGACCTCTATCCACCCCAAAATCAACCACCTTTTGCCCCACAGTGATGCGTATATTATGTTGCGCTAGCTTGCGGGCAAATTCACGGGTCACTTGAGGGTTACTGCAGACTATCTTTGACTTGGATGCTATGGTCGGGTGAACTTTGTGGCGAAGTCGCCCTGGGTCACGAACTTAATCGAACCGTAACAACTCTGGGTAATGTCGTCAACCCACGAAGACAAATCCACTGCTGGCGAATATTTGTTGTAAACGAACTCCAGGACTGAATACAAATAGAATCTCCCAAAATCCAGACCTCGACGGGCTCCAGCGATGATACTCTTGGTGGGCTGCACGGGCTCTGAGAAACTACGATTCTCTCGAAAAATTCTGGATGCCAGATGCGCCAGACCTTCCAGGACGAGAACCTGCGGGGGAAACTGCTTCTCGAGGCCCTGCTCGAAGAGCCTGTCAAATTCGAGCGAGTCGTAAAAAGCGTCGATGTCCCATAAAAAGAGATGACGAGATGGTATGGTCAGGGCCTGCACCCACTGACTCGTCCATGAAAGCTCGAAGCAGGCCAACCCTAAGACAAGACGAACCTCTAACTGCCTTATCCCATTTGCCTGCTACCTGATCCACCCACTCTGTCGGGTACACCTTGCGTGCAGCACTCCACAGACGGATGATGTCTGGGACTAGGCCGATCGACCTGTCTGTTGTGGGCCCTTTGCGCAACAAAACAATGAGCACCGTCATGATCTGCCACGGCCAGGTGCCGTGCGACTCACACGCATAATGAACGAGGTCTTACACACCCCGAGACGGCAAGTACTTAAATACTCCACCTATCTGTTCAACGCCTGGAGCTTTCTTCGCGTTGACACTGTCGATGGCGAGGGACAGGAGGAGGAGGAGGAGGAGGAGGAGGAGGAGGAGGAGGATAAGGAAGAGCACAGGTAGGAGCATGAAGTGGAAGCGGGGGAGAAGGAGAAGGAGCAGCAGAAGGAGGAAGGGATGATCGTGAAACAAGAAATGGCATACACATACACCTTCGGAAATCCGCACGAAATTCTCGGGTCGGCGCTGGACCACCCATCCCATGCTCTCCAGCAACGCGGCCTCACAACACAACGCACTGTATTGTACTCTGCCCGTTTGATTTCACGATTGTGGCAAGCGCCACAATCATCCCAGCCGTTGAAATAACCCCTTGCCCAAAATAATAAAGCATACCTCCACCCTTAACCGCCCGGTCTTGATTATCTCCGGCTCTCCATATTTTGAACATGCGGGGGGGGAGCGGCGAGGCCGAACTTAATTATCCCCGAGGAAGGGGGAAGTTACGAATCGAAGTGACTTCCTTCTCCTCATGTTGGCATGGCAAAGGCCCCACGCACTCCTCCGAGCAAGTTGTCGCTATACTATATTATATCTCTGGTGCTGTCTACACAGTGAATCTCCGTACACCCGTACACCTTACATCGGGTACATGGGACTCGCCGGGACATACAAGAGGCACGCGCGCCAAGGATCATACAACTTCGGGCGCAGATGGGACGCCAACGGGCCAAAGGTGGAATAGGCAGACGGGAGGCCACAGGGGGAAGGGCAGCAGGGGGGCAGGGGGGCACGCTCGGGCAGACGGGGGGGCACAGTGGGTGGGTCGGAATAAGCAGACGGGGGCCACGGGGCGGAGGGGTGCGGGGGGAAGGGGGGCAGGGGGACGGGATGGCACGGTCGGGCAGACTGGGGGCACGGTCGGTCGGTCGAAATTCACAGACGGGGCCATTGGGTGGAAGGGTACAGGGGGGGGCAGGGGGACGGGAGGGCACGGTCGGGCAGACGGGGGGCACGGTCGGTCGGTCGAAATTCGCAGACGGGGGCCACGGGGCGGAGGGGTGCGGGGGGGGAGCAGGGCGACGGGAGGGCATAGAGAGCACACATGCCGGCACGTATCCCAGCACACGGAGGCAGCACACAGCCCTGCACACAGCCCAGCACACGAAGGCAGCACACGTCCAAGCATACATCCCAGTCCAGCACACATCCCAGGCAAGGTCGGCCGGCCGAAATAATGCAGTGCGAGATCACACCAGCAGGTATAATAATAAGGAAAAGGAGTGCGAGGAAGGAGGGCGAGGGGAGTTCACGGGCGGAGGGCAGGGAGAGGCGGGGGGCACGGTCAGTCGGAGGTGGGGCACGGGACGGGCACAGGGTTGGGAGCACGATCGGTTGGAATAAGCCAGGGGAGCGGGGGCACGGTCGGTCGGAATAAACCAGGGGGGGGCGCTCCTGGATGGAGGACAAAGGCCACGGGACGGGGACAGGGCACGGGACAAGGAAAGGGGGGGGCAAGGTCGGTCGGAATAGGCTAGGAGGGGGCGAGGGGGGAAGGACATGGGGAGGGGAAGGGGGGCAAAGGACAGGGAGAGGAGGGGAGCACGGTCGGTCGGAACAAGCGAGGGCGGGGCAGGGGACAGGGAGAGGTGTGGAGCACGGTCGGTCGGAATAAGGAAAAGGGGAACTAGGGGGAGGGAAAGGGTAGGGGAGACGGATCAGGGAGAGGACAGGGAGAGGAGGGGAGCACGGTCGGTCGGAATAAGCGAGGGCGGGGCAGGGGACAAGGAGAGAGGGGAGGGAGCACGATCGGTCGGAATAAGATAGGGGGGGGCAAAGGACAGGGGGCACGGTCGGTCGGAATAAGCCAGAGGGGGCACAAAGGACGGAGGGGCGGGGGCACGGTCGGTCGGAATAAGCCAGGGGGGGCTCGTCGGGAGAGGACACAGGACACGGAGTGGGGAGGGGGCACGGTCGGTCGGAATAGGACAGGTGAGGCGAGGGGGGAAGGAAATGGGGGGAGGCGGAGGACAAGGAGAGGAAGGGGGGTCACGGTCAGTCGGAATAAGCCAGGGAGGGATCGGGAAGAGGGCACGGGACAGGCAGAGGGGAAGGGGCACGGCAATGCAAGTCGGAATAAGCGAGGGCGGGGGCGAGGGGGGACGGAAATGGGGAGGGGAGGGGGGGCGAAAAACAGGGAGAAGAGAGTGGCGCGGTCGGTCGGAATACGCCAAGGGGCACGGGGCAGGCAGAGGGGAGGGGAGCACGGTCGGTCGGAATGAGCCGGGGAAGGGGGGGTACGGAGAACGGGGGGGCGGGGGCACGGTCGGTCGGAATCAATAAGGGGGGCGAGGGGGGGAAAGGCAAAAAGGCCACGGGACGGGGAAAAAGCACGGGACAAGGAAAAGGGAGGGGGCACGGTCGGTCGGAAGAAGCCAGGTGAGGCGAGGGGAAGGGAAACGGGGGCGGGAAGGGGGGCGGAGGACAGGGAGAGGAGGGGGGCACGGTCAGTCGGAATAAGAAAAGGAGAGGGGCACGGGTCAGGGAGAAGGGAGGGGGCACGGTCGGTCGGACTACACCGCGGGGGGGACACGGAGGACAGGGGGGCGGGGGCACGGTCGGTCGGAAGAAGCCGTGGTGGGGGGCTCGTGGAGGGAGGGCAAAAAGGCTATGGGACGGGGGCAGCCTTTGACATGTCGACACGCATGCCAACACAGATGGTCGGAGCAGCGCAGACAGCAGACATCCCAGCACGCGGGCCAGCAGACAGAGAGAGGGCACACCCCGGCGTTCACATTCCCGGACACATGTCTCCGCTCATCCCAGGGCACGCCGAGCAAATTCCAGGCACACATTCCAGCAGACAGAGACAGGACACACCCCGGCGTTCACAGTCCAGGACACATCTCTTCGCACATCCAGGGCGCGTCCAACACATTCCAGGCACGGTCGGTCGAAATAATACAGTGCGAGATCACACCGGTGGGTATGATAATAAAGGGAGGGGCGCTCGGGCACGGCGGGGGGAGCACGGAGGAGGAGGCGCGGGGGCCTGGGGAGCGTGGAGGGAGCACGGGGGCAAGAGGAGACAAGCGCAGGGGAGGAGCGGTGGAGGGGGGCGTACGGTCGGAATAAGGGGAGGGGGGCCTGGGGAAGGCGGGGGGAGCACGGGGGACAGGGTGGGCGAGCCCGGGGGGCGTGGGGGGAGCACGGAGGCATCGGGCGAAGGGCGCAGGGGAGGGGCGGGGGGAGGGCGCACGGTCGGAATAAGGGGAAGGGGCATCCGGGCAGACGGGGGGCACGGAGGCAAGAGGAGGGGGGTGCAGGGGAGGAGCGGGGGGAGGGCGCACGGTCGGAATAAGGGGGGGGCGCCTCCAAGACGGTCAAGATGGCCTCCAAGACGGCTAAGATGGCTTCAAGACGCCTCCAAGACGGCCCAAGATGCACCCAAGACTGCCTAAGATTCTTAAGATAGCCTCAAGATGGCCCAAGGTAGCCTGAGAGGCCCCCAGGAGGCCTCCAAGACGCCCAAGACGGCCTCCAAGAGGTCCCCAGGAGGGCCCGAAGAGGCCACGATCATTGGTTTTCCTCAGGTTTTTGAAGGATGTTGGCATGTGCTTCTTCTCGGCATTCCAACGGCTCAAGACGGCCCATATCGCCCCAAGATCGCCCACGAGGCCTCCAAGATGGCCCCGTGACGGCCCAAGAGGCCCCCAAGACGGCCCCAAGACGACCCAAGAGGCCTCCAAGATGCCCAAGATGGCCTCTAAGACGGCCCTGGAGCACCCCAAGAGGGCCCCAAGTCGGCCCATAGAGGCCCCCCCGAACGGCTTCCGACGGCGTCAGACGGGCCAGGAGCCCACCAAGATGGCCGAAGTTGGCTCGAAGCTGGCCCACGACGGCCCAAGAGGCCTCCAAGAGGGCCTCCAGGAAGGCAAGAAAAAGGCCACAAACACTGGTTGTCCTTAGGTTTTTGAAGGATTCTGACATTTGCTTCTTTTCGGCCTTCCGACGGCCCGAGACGGCCCAAGAGCCCCCAAACATCACCCAAATATCGCCCAAGAGGCCTCCAAGATGGCCCCAGAACGGCCCAAGAGACCCCCAAGACGGCTCCAAGAGGCCCCCAAGACGGCCCAGGAAGTTTTTAAGACGCCCAAGATGACCTCCAAGACGGCCCTGGAGCATTCCAAGAGGGCCCCAAGTCGGCCCAGAGATGCCCCCCAAACAGCTTCCGACGGCGTCGGACGGTCCAGGAGCTCACCAAAACTTGGAGGCCTCCAGGAAGGCCCGAAAAGGCCCAAATCATTGATGTCCCATGGGTTTTTGAAGGATTGTGGCATTTGCTCGTTTTCGGCCTTCCGACTGCCCGAGACGGTCCGAGTGCCCCCAAAGATCGCCCAAGAGGCCCAAGACGGCCCCAAGAGGCCCCCAAGACGGCCCAAGAGGCCTCCAAGACGCTCAAGATGGCCTCCAAGACGGCCCAAGAGCCCTCCAAGACGTCCTCCAAGAAGGCCCGAAAGGGTCAACATGGCCTCCAGACGGCCAAGATGACCTCCAAGATGCCCACGTGTTCCCCGAAGGCTTTCCAAACCAATTCGGGAAACACATGGCCCGATAGCTTGGCCAAGCTCTAGCCCAGCTGTCGGACACATAGGCGCTTCCACAATGGCAGGAGGCGGCGGTGATTCGCAGTAGGCGCCTTCGATCAGCCGCCCCCGCGTGACCTCGCCCCTGTTCGGCCTTCTGCCGGTCTGAGACGGCCCAAGAGCCCCCAAAGATCGGCCCAAGATCTCCCAAGAGGCTGCCCAGAACGGCCCAAGAGGCGCCCAAGGCGGCCCCAAGGAGCCCCAAGACGGCCCAAAAGGCCTCCAAGACGCCCAAGATGGCCTCCAAGACGGCCCTCGAGCAATCCAACAGGGCCCAAAGTCGGCCCAGAGAGGCCTCCAAGACGGCTTCCGACGGGCCAGGAGGCCACCAAGACGGCCCAAGATGGCTCCACGATGGCCCACGGTCCAAGAGGCCCCCAAGAGGTGTCCAAGACGGCCCAAGAGGCCTCCAAGATGGCCTCCAGGAAGGACTGGAGAGGCTCACCCCGTGCGTGTATGCCTCCTCCTCCTCCTCCTCCTCCTCCTCCTCCTCCTCCTCCTCCTCCTCCTCCTCCTCCTCCTCATTTCATCTCCTCCTCCTCCTCCCTCCTCCTCCTCATCCTCCTCCTCCTCCTCCTCCTCCTCCTCCTCATCCCCCTCCTTATTCATCAGTGTTGTTATTCGTATTGTTGCAAAGCACGTTTCATTTCCATCATTCGTACTTCGTGTGAGTATGAATATGATGAATGGAATATGATCATGACTGTGGTTGATGTTACACGGCTTCATGGTATCATGCGTCTGGATAAGAGTGGTCTTAGGAATCGTGCTATAGGTTTTGTTGGTACTCTGCAAGGTATTGTGATTCGCCCTGTGCTGCCTACTCTGATTCTCACTGCTGCTCCTCCTTCCTCCCTCTCAAGGGCGGAGGGGGGAGGGCCCCACCTCCAGCTCCTCCTGCGCCAGCTGCACGCGGGCCCCCGAGGTCTCCCGGATCTGCTTCAGGCCAGACCCCTGCTTGCCGATCACGGCGCCTGCGGAGGGGGGAGGAGGAGGAGGAGGAGGAGGAGGAGGAGGAGGAGGAGGAGGAGGAGGAGGGGGGGGGAAAGGAGGAGGAGGAGGAGGGGGAGGAGGGCAAGGAAAGTAGAGGAGGAGGAGGGTGCGGGAGTGAGAAGGAGGAGGAGTAGGTCAGAGGAGGAGGAGGAGGAGGGAGGGCAGAGGAGGGGAGGGAGGAGGAGAGGGAGGGAGGAGGAGGGGGGGAGGAGGGGGGGGAGGGTGGGAGGAGGAGGAGGATGGGGAGTAGGGGAGGAGGAGGAGGAGGAGGGGAGGAGGAGAGGGATGGCGGAAAGGAGGAGGAGGCTTGAGAAGGAAGGAGGAGGAGGATGAGAAGTGGGAGGAGGAGTGAGGAGGATGATGGGGAGGAAGAGGAGGAGTGAGGAGGGGGGACATGATGGGGGTGGGGAGGCGGTATGGACGGTGAGGAGGAGGAGGGAAATGGAATGTGGTGAGGAAGGGGGGAGGATGAGTAGTTTGGGTAGAGGGGCAACAAAGCAAGGGAAGGAGGGGTCGGAGGGGGAGTGAGGATGATGAGGGGGAGGAAGAGGAGTAGAGTGAGGATTAGGCGGCGGCGGAGGGATGAGGAGGACTTCTTTCTGCGCCGAGCGCTCCAGCGAGCGAAATCGGGGAGCCAGCGAGCCGCGGCCGGGCGCCCGAGGGCACGACCGCGCACCGAGCGCGAGACCTGAGGCGGCGGAGCGGCGACGCCTGGGGGACTGGTGGGGCGCCTCAGGGCAGCCACACGTAGCGGTGCGCACAAGGGGGTGGGGGGGGGAGGGATTCTTAGAAGCACCCCTGCTTCTTAGAAGGCGCCGGCCTCACATCTGTAGATGAGGCCCGCGCCTTCTGAGAAGCAGGGGTGCTTCTGAGAAGCCCTCCCCCCTCCACCCACCCCCCTCTGCGCGTGGCAGCCGCACCCTGAACTTTTCGAGTCGGCGGGCGCTAGCGAATCGAAGTCGGTGCAGGCGCCAGTCGGGCTTCGGGCGGGACGCGCCAAGAACGAATTTTGAGGCACACCAGCGGAGGAGGACGCGGGAAGGGCAGAATAGCCACGCCCTGAACACCCCAGGCCTACCAGGGGCCTGCACGGCCAGCAGGTCAAAGGCGCCCGACCTTCCCAGCTCCCCGCGCGCCTGCGCGCTGGAGGCCTCGGCGCGGGCCGAGGCACCTGATGGCAGGCCGCGCCCCAGCTCGCGCGAATCTCGCCAGCCCTCTAGGGCGGCGCAAAATGTTTGACACCGCGTCGATCGTTCAACCTCGAGCCGATCGCGGCCCCGACGTCTCAAGGTTGACTTTCGTCTGGTCCGGTGGCGCTACCGTGTCCCTCGGTGTTTCCGCATCGCTGTATCATGCGGAGGTCAACCTTGAACGCCTTCGCAAGTGTCGCCAGCGCGCCATCGCCGCATGAACCTACCGTCGCGGGCTTTCTCTTCCAAATCCCCTTTTCTCCTTCGGGGAGGAGTTTACCCCTCCCCCTACCCCCTCTGGACCTGGAGGGAGGGGGTCGCGACCCACGAGAGCGACCAAGCAGGCCCCGGCGACAAGGCTCAAATCACTGATTTCACAGGAAGTTTTGGGCACATGCTGGCTTCTTGGGGGGAGGGATCGATTTTCTCCAAGATGGCCTCAACGGCCCTCAAGGGTGCCCCCAGACGGCCCCAAGAGGGCCCCAAGAGGCGCCCAGGAGAGGCTCCCAAACGACCCCCAAGATGCATCAAGAGGCTCTCCCGACGCATCCAGGACACTCTACGAGGCCCCTGGGACCGCCAAGAGCCCCCTGAGCCGCCCACATAGGACCCCAAGAAACTCTCAAGAGGCATTCGAAGAGACTCCGAGAGACATCCAAGAGGTTTCTGGCCTTTCTGCTCGCCCTCCTCCTCCTGCTCCTCCTCCTTTCCTGAGGAGGAGGAGAAGGAGGAGGCACTGGGGTTGGCTCAGTATAAGCGGCTTGCATTCTCCATCGCCCGTCGAGCCCGCGCAACCGAATCCAGATTGCGATCGATGACTGGCCATTCTTGTTGTTTCAAAAACGCTGTTTAAAAACGCTGCAACAATCGGATTACTAATATGCTGTTGTTTTCCTCCGTTTGGAAAAAGGCGATAACAAAAATACGCTGTAACTGTCAGATTATACACGCGCTGCTCTGGCGAGACTCCAGGCTGATACCCCGCCACAAGATCCGCGACCGTCCCAGACCCCAGGTGCCCACAATCTTCCTCCTCCTCCTCCTCCTACTCTTCCCCGTGCCAATGACCCCCCAGACTTCTTGGTTCTCGATGTGGTTGGGGACGCACGGGGCGGCCTTCAAGGATCCCTGCTGGGGTCCGACGAGCACCCCGACCACGAGGGCCAGGGGGTGGGGGTCGGGGCGACAAAGGCTTAATTCGGCCAGCTCGTGCACGATTGGAGCCTGTCATGGCTCGAGGTTGAGCGTCCGTAAGTACGGCGGTTGGCTGGGGCCCGGGGGCCCAAACTCTTACTACGATGCTCGGGATCGGAGTTTGGGGAACGGCGGCCAAGCGCTACGGACTCACGGAGTTCGCATGTAGCTCTCCGCCAGTCGTTTCGACTGGAGCGACCAGGGCCCTAGCTGTTGAAAAGCTCACTGCAGTGACCACCACGCGGGTGGCCGGCATGTGCATCGTGCGTTCTGCTTGCCGCCGCTTCGCCATAAGGGTCGGGGACTAAGGGCCACTGCATAGCAAGTTCAAGTTAGCCCCCGGCCCGCTGATTCGACTGGATCAGCTTTCCAATCAATATGTTGCCACCTCATGCCCATTGTTTAAAGGGCCAGGGACTAAAGACCACTGCGTAGCAAGTTCAAGTTAGCCCCCGGCCCGCTGATTCGACTGGATCAGCTTGTCAGCCGCCGCGCGCGCAGCCATCTTCTTCCTGCCCGACGCCGGCGCTTCTCCTTCCCTCCTCTGGCCTACTTGCACCCATGTTGAACGTTCGGTGTGAACCCGGCGCGATGGTCGAAGGGTCTGGTCCTTACCTTTCCCGCCGAGGGCCGACTTTGGCCTTCGTGCTCAGACGCCGTTTGGATCACATCAGGCACGCAAGGTTTCACGCGAAGAGGAGCGAAGCACATCGTGCTTCGCTATTCTCTGTAGCAATGGCGGAGAACGCAGGGCCGGTTCACAAGGGAGAGAGCGCTGCAGGAATCACTGTTGAGACTCGAGCGAAGAGCTCAGGCCCTCTTCTCCCTTGCTCTCTCCTGCGTTCTCTGCCCCCCTCTCTCTTTGCTGCCCCCATGCCGGTCCCGCACGGGGTCCGAGTAATAGTAGAAGCCGCAGTTGGTCTCATCCTAGTCTGTAGAAGCCGCAATAGTAGAAGCCGCAGTAAGAGAGGGATACACTCTCCCCAGTTTGGTCTCATCCTGGATCTGCGCCGCGTGATCTCGCGAAGGGGGGCATGATTTGTCCGCCCGCTCTGGGTGTCACGGAATACCCCTGGGGTCCGGGTAGCAATAGGCAGCGGTAGACAGCACATGCTCCGGGTAGCAAGAGGCAGCGGTAGACAGCACATGCTAGGCCAACGATCCCATGAAGTGGGACAGCAGCTACGGCATCAACAATCCCACTGAGTGGGATAGCAGCGTTGTGCGATACGCAGCAGCATGCGTAGACAATTGTATGGGGGTAGCCGCAGGCGGATCTCACACGCTTGGCCGCTCCCTGGCCTGTGGCGGCAAGCATCGTGTGGTGAGCCTTCTGCTTGCCTTGGCGTCTTTGTGAAGGAACGCCGCCTCGAAATGTGACCTTGACCGGGGTTAGGTTCAAAATGCCGTCGTATCGGATCACGCGTCCAGTTGGACATCCGGTTCGAGCGGCCGGTCGCCAGCGGATCATGCGTCCGCACGGCGGTGTCCGCAGGGGCTCCTGCTCCTGCCCTGCGGCTGGCTGCGGATCAGGTGTCTGGCCGTCTCTCTCTCTCTCTCTCTCTCTGTTTCTGGGGCGCGTCGTTTGTCGTGCGCGCCGTGGCGCCTGGATAACTCATCGCGCTTCGCCGTCCGCTGCCGCGGATCAAGTGTCCGCCTGGCGGTGCGTGGCGGTTGGGGTCGGCCCGGGGACGGGGCGGCTCCTCCCCCCGAAAGCCGCCGAAATGGGACGCCGAGCCCCCCCCCCCTCGGTGTACGGGGGTCCCCTTGATACACCGAGGGGGGGGGGGGGCTCGGCGTGCCATTTTCGGCCGGTTTTGGTGGTCTTCTGGGGTTCGTTCGCTCCCCCATGGGCTCCCGCTGGGGCGCGGTGGGGGTTGTCCTCCTCTGGGCGCGCGCGCGATGATGATTTCTTGCTGCTGCCGCGTGCCCGCGCTGGGGTGGGCGGTCGGGCTGGCGCGGCTGTGGCGCGTGTACCCTATATCCGAGCGTGGCTGGGGCGAATTCCATTCCCCAGCCACGCCAGAGGGGGTTAGAGAAGGGTGGACTCCGAGCGCGGGCTGGGGCAAATGCCATTCCCCAGCCACGCCAAAGGGGTACAGAAAGCTGACCCCTCATGCTGGGGAGTTGGTCCCCCATACCTCGCGCGTTGACCCTTCACGCTGGGGCTTGCACCTCTCATGCGTTGACCCCTCATGCCGGGGACTGTACCCCTCATGAGTCGCGCTGTCGTGCTCGCATCTCGCCCGTCATGATGTCGGGCTTTCCCAACGGGTGGCCCCCGGCCGTGCCTGGAGAGAACACCGGTGAGCTGGGCAGCTTACCGGTGTACTGAGGCTGTTTTGGTAGTACCTGGAGCTCAAATTCAGCGGCAGGGAGGCGTGCGGACTCATTAAGGGTCCGATTGCTCCCCTGAGGGGAACCGCTGGCCATTGCACGGCTACAGATTCAGTGTGTGCGCGGACCACTGCGGAGGCAAGTTCGCTTCCCCGACTTAGGATGCCACCCTGTAGGAGCCCGGATTTGACCAGATCACCAGAGGGCATAGGGTGAGGAGGGGGCGGTGGACAGAGAAGGCGATAGAGAGGTGGAGCATCGACCGGTGCTCCTCACTAAGCACCTCAATATCATTACTGTTCTCCGCCCCCCGCTTTAGGCCGCGTGGCAGGTTTCTCGCATCGGCCAGACCCCGCTCCCCTAGGGGCTGAGGTGTGTGAGCCCGGCCCACGGCATAAGGGCACATCCGCGACAATCCTCCACCTACTTTTCTTCCTCCGCCTGCTCCTCCTCCTCCTCCTCCTTCTCCTCCTTCCTCTTCCCTCTTTCCTCCTCCCCCGCCCTCTCCGCTTCCCCTCCCCCTCCTCCTTCTTCTCTCCTCCTCCTCCTCCCCTCCTCCTCCTCCTCCTCCTCCTCCTCCTCCTCCTCCTCCTCCGTCATGCCCCTCTTCGGGTACGGTGGTTTCCCCAGCCTTTTATTCCACTGCATGCTCCTCCATATCCCTGATCAGGGCAACTCGCCTGGGCATCGTTTCTGGATGGGCTGGTGGGGTTGCTTTTTGTTCGCGAGCGCACAGGCGAAAGCCAGGCGCCGTCAAGAAACGCGGCTAACGAGCAGCGAGCTAAATTTCGCACAAGAGCGCACAGGAGCGAGCTACGTTGCGGCTGGCTGGTGGGGTTACGCGAAGAGTCTAGAAGGTCCCGCTCCCTGGGGAGACACGGGCGATGGGGAGGCACCGAAGACGACAGACGACGACGGGACGCCTTGTCGTGGAAGAACGGGCCGTGGCTACGACTGAGGTTGCAATCAAGGCCGTGATGCAGGAGAAGGGCATCTCCCAGGAGCAGGGCCTTTGGACCGTGCTCCTCCTCCTCCTCCTCCTCCTCCTCCTCCTCCTCCTCCTCCTCCTCGGGGCTGAGATACCACGGCCCATGGCGGCGGGGATCGGCTCGACGATGCTGATCTCCCCCAAGCATGCGACGTGCGATGTCTTGATCTGGCCACAGCAGTCCCGACCCTGTCACCGGGAGCCCGCGTTTCTTCAAGAATCCCAGGACCCGGCGGGGGCCCCCAAAGGCTGCAACCCACCAGAAAACCTCCCGTCGTGATTTCTTCACGACGCGAGCACGCCTGGGGCTGACCCTCCTCCTCCTCCTCCTCCTCCTCCTCCTCCTCCTCCTCCTCCTCCTCCTCGGCAGCTGCCTCACCACCTAGAATAACAAAACGCGGCATAGGAATATACTTTCGGAGCTCCGTGCGGATTTCTTGAATCGGCGCTGCACCCCCCACCCTGGAGCGCGGAGCGCGCCAGGGGCAGCGCCGAAAGCGCCGCCAGGAGGGCCCCAGCGTCGATCCAAGAAATCCGCCGGGAGGCTGCGAAAGATTGTGTGCTGTGCCTCTTGCTCCTCCCTCCTCCTCGTCCTCATCATCCTCCTCCTCCTCCTCCTTCCCTCCTCCTCCTCCTCCTCTCCTTCCTCCCTGTCCTCCTCCCCTGTCCTCCGCCTCCTCCTCCCCTCCTCCTCCCCCTGTCCTCCCCTCTCCTCCTCGTCCTCGTCCCTCCCCTCCTCCTCCTCCTCGTCCTCCTCGTTTGCCTCCTCTCCTCTCCTCCTCCTCCTCCTCCTCCTCCTCCTCCTCCTCCTCCCTCCTCCTCCCTGTCCCTCCCCTCCTCCTCCTCCTCCTCCTCCTCCTCCTCCTCTCCTCCTCCTCCTCCTCCTCCTCCTCCTCCTCCTCCTCCCTGGTCCTCCTCCCTGTCCTCCTCCTCCTCCTCCTCCTCCTCCTCCTCCTCCTCCTCCTCCTCCTCCTCCTCCTCCTCCGCAAGTGTCCTGGCCTGGCCAGGCTCGGGCCCGGGGAGCCCAGGCCGCGGGGTCCCTGTTGCCCCAGGAGGAGCGCCGTCCCCGAGGAGCGCCCGCTCGAGCAAGGAGGGCGGAGCAAGGAGGGCGAGCAAGGAGGGCGGTCCTCCTCGCCTCGGCGGCCTCGTTTCACTTCCGCCGACCTTCCGCCGCCTTCCGCCGAGGAAGAGATGGCAACTATTCGATCCTCGGGTTTTGGGGAGGCACGGGCTCCACCTGTGTGCTTCCCATGTTCCCCCGACACCCCCCCACACTGGAGATGGAAGGCACGCTGGGGCCCTCGGGTTTGGGCTGGGGTGGCCTGGTGGGTGGTGAGCCCCCCCCCGGGGGCCGAGCCTGCTGCTTCGCGGCGCACCATGTAGATCACGGAGATCTCCGCGTACGCCTGCCCCGCGGCCTGGCGCGGGGGCCGCCCCGAGGAGGAGGAGGAGGAGGAGGAGGAGAGAGGAGGAGGAGGAGGAGGGGGAGAGGAGGAGGAGAGGAGGAGCAGGAGAGGATGAGGAGAGGCGGATGAGGAGGAGGAGGAAGGGAGGAGGGGGGAGGGCGGAGGGGCGGAGGGCGGAGGGCGGAGGAGGAGGAGGGAGGAGGAGAGGAGGAGGGAGGAGGAGTAGGAGGAGAAGGAGGGGAGAGGAGAGGGGAGGGAGAGGGAGGAGGAGGAGGAAGGAGGAGGAGGAGGAGGGAGGAGAGGGGAGGAGGAGAGGAGGAGGAGGAGAGGAGGAGGAGGAGGAGGGGAGCCGCCGCGCGCCGCGCCGCGAGGCCCCCGCGGCCCGTCCTCTCGTCGCTGCCTCGTCGCTCGTCGCTCGCCCGCGAACCGACTTCCTGCCGATTCCTCGTCGCTCGTCCTCTGTCTGCTTCTCTCTCTCTCTCTGTCTATCTCTCTCTCTCACTCTCTCTCTCTCTCTCTCCCGCTCTCTCTCTCTCTCTCTCTCTATCGAGCCTCGGCTCAAAGGATCCTCGTGCTCCTGGGAGCCACGGTGCCCACTCTTGGGGTCGTCTTGGGGCCGTTTTTGAAGGCCTCGGGGATTTCCAGGCGCCGTTTTGGAACCGTCTCCGGGGGGACATCTTCGTCCGTCTTGGCGCACTCTTGGGCTATCTTGGGCCCCTCTGGGCCATCGTGGCGCATCCTGGGTCGTCTTGGGGCCGTCTCTCGGACCGTCTTGGCCCTCCCCAGGGAACCTAATGATTGTTGGGGCACCTGAGATCCCTCTTGGGCCTCCTTGGGCCCCTCTTGCAGCTGCTGGGAGCTCCCGGGGGCCCCGCGGGAGGCCTCCGGGCAGCGGGGACACTCCGCGCCACGGCCGCCGGCCTGTGGGACATCCTGCGCCACGCCTCTTTGGGGGGGGACGGGTGCAGGCAGCCGAGGCGCTGGGGGTACACTCCGGGCCTCCCCGATGGGGCCGGAGTGGATGGGATCGGAGGACCGCGGCGCATCGCCGATGCAGCGGCGATGCGGCTCGATGTGGAGCCCTTCTCCCCGCCGGGGCGTCGCCGATGCACCGCCGGCGTCGCGGACGCACCGTCTGTGCAGCGTCGATGCGTCCGGCCCCATCTGCTCGGACGCCACCTGGGAGGCCACCAGACAGCGAGGAGGTCGCCAGAGCCTCCAGCGGGGCCGGGCGGCGGCGGCGAGGCGCGGGCAGCAGAGCCCCTCGTCGAGGCGGGGTCTGGTCGAGGCGGCGCGATCAGGGCGCTGAACCAGGCAGGGCGCCGCGGCGGCGCTCTGGCCTGCCAGCGCCAACAGCCGGGCGTCCGCCGCGCCGGCGCTCCGGCCTGCCAGCGCCAACAGCCGGGCGTCCGCCGCGCGGCTGCGGGAGGAGGCGCGGCGGAAAGGCTCGCGGCGCTGCAGCGCAGGAGCGCGGGTGCAAGGCGGCGACGTGTCCCACAGAGTGGGCAGCGCACCTGGGCACGCGCTGCAATGCAGGCGCAGCCAGCGCCACGGGGGCAGGGCCGCTGGAGTCCTCAGGCGGAGCGGCGGTTCTCACCACCCGAGGTCGAGGCAGCGTGCCGGTGGCAGGCCCTGGGCATGGCTGGCAGCGCTGGTGGGCTGGAGCGCTGGTGGAGCTCGGGCTGCAGCCGCGAGTGGCACTGGGCTGGAGCGCAGCATCGGCCTCACGGGCAGCAGTGGTTCTTGGCGGGCGACTGGGACACGGAGCCGCGCATGCTCCAGGAGCGGGCCAGGCGCGCAGGTGGGCAGATCCTGCCGCAGGGGGCGAAGCCACCATAGGCGAAGAGGGGTTCGACTACTCCATCGCGGCCGTGGAGCTCTGCGAGCTCGTGCGCGAGGTCACGCCAGTCAGTCTCGGGCGTGGCCTGCAGCCCCCATCGGCCTGTCGGGCGGGTGCTGGAGGTGCTTGGACGGCGCGCCCAGGTGCGCTCGATGCTGCAGCCCGGGCGGGCGCCGTTGGAGCAGCCCCCGCCCGTCAGGGCCCCGCCAGCAGCCGTCGCAGAACGGAGGTGTGCAGTGACGACGCCAAGGCGGCCAGCGGCGAATGGTCCCCAGCGATCCGGGGGTCTGCCTCCACGAGCTGCACCGGCCCGGGCCCCGTCATCCGGGTGAGGCGGGCCGACGGCCTCAAGGTCGAGATGACCCAGCTCTCGGCGCGGCATGGAGGCGGCGCCTGGGGCGGCAGGCCAGCCCCACCCGCCCACTGCTGCAGCGTCAGGGCCGGCACGCTCGGCAGGCTGAGGAGCCTGGCCGGCAGCAGCACGCCGGAGACCCGCAGGGCTGCGGCGCTAGCGAGGAGGCCGAGGCTCGCTCCCGCAGGGCGGGCCGCGTTGCCCTGCGTGAGGGGGCTCGAGCGAGGTGACGGGCGAGCTCGCGCAGACGGCGCAGGCGGAGCCGAAGAAGGGCGCCGACGCCGACAGCAGGGCGGCGGCCAAGAGCTGGCTGGCGAGAGAGGGCGCAGGCGGCCCCTGCGGAGCTGCCCTCCCTCTCCCGCCTTCTGCCACCCCTCCCCCTCCCCCTCCCTCTGTTGGTTTTATCTTCCGGGGCTCTCCCGGACCTCTCCCTCTTCTCCTCCTCGGCCTCCGCCCTCCTCCTCCTCCTCCTGCTCCTGCTGCTGCTGCTGCTGCTGCTGCTGCTGCTGCTGCTCCTCCTCCTCCTCCTCCTCCTCCTCGCTCCTCCTCCTCCTCCTCCTCCTCTCCTCCCATCCTCCTCCTCCTCCTCCTCCTCCTCCCCCTCCCCTCATCCTCCTCCCTCCTCCTCCTCCTCCTCCTCCTCCTCCACCTCCTCCTCCGCCTCCTCCTCCTCCTCCTCCTCCTCCCTCCTCCCTCCTCCCTCCTCCTCCTCCTCTTCCTCCCCCTCCTCCTCCCTCCGCCTCCTCCTCCTCCTCCTCCTCCTCCTCCTCCTCCTCAACCTCCTCCCTCCTTCTCTACTCCCTCCTCCTCCTCCTCCTCCTCCCGCCTCCTCCTCCTCCTCCTCCTCCTCCCCCTCCACCTCCTCCCCCTCCTCCTCCTCCTCCTCCTCCTTCTCCTCCTCCTCCTCCTCCTCCTCCTCATCCCCTCCTCCTCTCCCTCCTCCTCCTCCTCCTCCCCCCCCTCCTCCTCTTCCCTCCTCCTCCCTCCTCCTCCTCCTCCGCCTCCTCCTCCTCCTCCTCCTCCTACTCCCCTCCTCCTCCTGCCCCTCCTCCTCCTCCTCCTCCTCCTCCTCCTCCTCCTCTCCTCCCCTCCTCCTCCTCCTCCTCCCACCCTCCTCCTCCTCCCCTACTCCTCCTCCTCCTCCTCCTCCTCCTCCTCCTCCTCCTCTCCCCTCCTCCTCCCTCCTCCTCCTCCTCCCCTACATCCCCCTCCTACTCCTCCTCCTCCTCCTCCTCCTCCTCCTCCTCCTCCTCCTCCTCCTCCTCCTCCTCTCCTCTTGCTCCCCCCCCTCGCCCTCCTCCTCTACATAACGGCATATACATAAACTTTGGGCGGTCCGCGCGGAAATATTGGATCTGAGCTGGATCCCCCTCCCTGGCGCGCGGGGCGCGCCAGGGGGGCCCAGCGCAGAGCCAAGAAATCCGTCGGGACCACCAAAAGTATATGTTCCTCGGCCTCCGCTCTCCTCCTCCTCCTCCTCCTCCTCCTCCTCCTCCTCCTTCCTCCTCCTCGTCCTCGGCCTCCTTTCCCTCCGTCCCCTCGTCCTCGTCCCTCGTCCTCGTCCTCGTCCTCGTCCTCCCCTCCTCCTCCTCCTCCTCCCTCATCCTCCTCCTCCTCCTCGTCCTTCTCCTCCTCCTCCTCCTCCTCCTCCTCCTCCTCCTCCTCCTCCTCCTCGGCCTCCGCCCTCCGCCCTCCTCCGCCGGGGGGCGTCAACGTCGGGGGCGCCGCGGGCGCGCTGAGGGGGGGAGGGCGACGGGGGGGGGGAGGGGCGAGGGCGCGCAGGGAGCGGGGGGCAGGCGCGGGGGCAAGGGGGGCAAACATAACAGGGGATATGGCGACCCCTATCCCAGGCGCCGTGGGGTTTTCGAAGGGGCCAGAAATTTGGGGCCAGAATATACGATGGGGGAGCGTCCATCCTCGATACGGGTGCGTCCGAATAGCCCCCTTGAGGTGTATTCCAAGGTTTCCCTCGTTTTCTGAGCGGCTTCTATGTTTGCCGAATAGCCGGGATTGGAGAGAAAAATCACCTGCGAGAGCAAGCCAGCCCGGCCGGGTCGCAAGTCCGAGCTGTTGCCCGCCACTTCGGGCAACCCATGAATTTGAGGCTTGAACTTCTAGACGGCCTGTCGGTTGGAACTCAGCGAGCCTCAAGCCTGAATTTCTGTGCGCACTGGCTTGCTCGAGACAGCCTGTCGCAGCCAAGAACAGGTCAGGATTCCCTCTGGAATCTCTGAAGGTTCCAACTGGAATTCTAAGCATTTCCGGGATATTTCATGTGGCGCCTCAAGGGCTTCCTACGATTTTATCTTAAGACACGGATCAGGACGACGGCGAAGAGAGGGAGGAACAAGAGATCGATGTGGATGGGGTAAGAGGAGGAGGAGGAGGAGGAGGAGGAGGAGGAGGAGGAGGAGGAGGAGGAGGAGGAGGAGGAGGAGGAGAAGCAGGCAGGGCACTGACGCAAAGGAGGAGCAAGGAGGAGAAGGACGAGGACGAGGAGGATCACGAGGAGCAGAAGGGACAGAGGGAGGAAGATGATGAGGCGTCGGTGGGTGGGCGGACGCAGGGCGCAAGACTCGGGCGTTCGTCAACGCGGGGAGGGGGGGAAGAGTGAGAAACGCGCACCTCCAAAAACACCTTCTGGGCCCGCGGCTGCGATTCACAGGCCGCCGAGGGCCCCTCCAGGCCTGCTTGCCTGCACTCCTCGACCCGCCCCGTCTCCTGCCCCCCCCCCCCCCCTGCCGAACGCCCAGCAAGCGAGCGGGAGCGGAGCTCGGAAATCCGGACGGTGCACTTTTTTTCGCGCCGGGCGTTCGTCGCGCGGTCCCGGGCCCCGGGACCATCACAGCTCGCTCCGGCTCGAAAATTGCAGCAGCCAGACGGGGTCGAGCGGTTCGGCCGCGACTCTGCACAATGTCGCAGGGAGGAGGAGGAGGAGGAGGAGGAGGAGGAGGAGGAGGAGGAGGAGGAGGTGGAGGAAGAGGAGGAGAAGGAGGAGGAGGACGAGGAGGAGGAGGAGGAGAACGACGAGGAGGAGGAGGAGGAAGAAGGGGAAGAGGAACGGAACGGAACGGAAAGCCCACGGGGGAGCGCTCAGCACTGCAGCCGCCGACCCCGTCGGCGTGCGTGTGAGGGGCTTATCCGTTCGAGTCGGGTTCCGTTGGTGTCGCCCGAGAATGAAGGGGCCCTGGAACACACAAATAAATACACACAAATAAAATGATCCCCCATATTTTCAAATATTTTCTGGGTTTCTGTCTTCCCGCCCACTTCCCATATTTTCCTATATTTTCTGGGGAATCGACGATTAATTGTGTCTGTGTGTTTTTTCTCCTCCTGAGAGAAGCCGACTTTTTTTATCGGGGGCGCGCAAACACGGATCGGGGGAGGTGCCCCTCGCTCGGCGGCGGAAATCTGCGATTTCCCACGAAAACGGGGCCCGTTGCTGATCCACGCCCTCTTGATCCATGCTTGCGATCGCCTGATTCTGTTGCCTAACCGACACCCGCCGACCCTGACATCCGTCAAGCCTGTCAGCGACAGAAAAACCTAGCCGTGTCGTAGACTCGAAGGGAAGCTTTTTCGAGAAGGGGGGGGGTCAGATACGCATCCTCCCTTGGGGGTTTCGGGGCTTGAAAAAATACCAAAACAAGCCCAGAGTGCCCCAAGAGGTCTCCGAGAGCGTCCAAGATGGCCCCCACCCCAAGTCGTCCCCCTCTCCAGGTATCCCCCCTCCATACCCCTCCTGCTCATATTCTGCACTATCCTCGGCCCAACCCCGTCATCTTTCTCCTGTCCACGTCCCCTTGCACTGCCCCCTGGTGCTCAGCCCCCCCCACCCACCTCAACCTCTGCCTCCACACCCCCCTGCTCATCCACATGATCGCCACCCTCCTCCTGCTCCTCCTCCTCCTCCTCCTCCTTCTTCTTCTTCTTCTTCTTCTTCACCTCCTCCACCTCCTGGGCGTCGTCTGCCCCCTCCTCCTCATGCGGCTCCTCCTCCTCCTCCTCCTCCTCCTCCTCCGTCGTCGTCTTCAGGGTCGGCGGCGCCGGCCGTAAGGCCTTCGCACTATTCGATTGAGCTCAGCTTGAAAGATCCAAGACTTCGGTGTAAAAGACCAAACGCCCCTTGAGGAGGCATTGGGCCCCAGCCACGATAGCCAAGCTCGGTGCGGCAACTTGGGGCCCAGCTCCTTGAAAGAAACGAGACTTCAACCCCATTCTTTGCCCGTGGGAGGGGGCCGTCTCAGATCCTGAGAAACTCGTTCTGACCACAGTGGTTGAACAGGGACCGACCATCCCTGCATTCCTATAGTCCCACCACGACATGTTCTTAGAACCCAAAAGCGTTCTAATAACAAAAACAATGTTCTTAGAACATAAACCGAGAAATATTCCCCGCCAGAAGTGTTCTAAGAACATTTCGTGGAAACCACAACAGGTTCTTAGAACATTGTTTGATAGGGCTATGGGCGAGCCAGGACGCTTCGCCACTGCTTGATGTGGGCGGGTTCTGGGTCCCAGGGGGCGGCAGGAAGGCCTTGCCTAGCAAGCGGCACCGCCCGATCAGTCGCAGCTCGAAGTCGGGGATTGGGGCAGTCGATATTCAGCCAACGCCTCGAGACTCTTATGTGTTGGGGCCTCACAGAGACGGCCTAATATGATCCCTCTACCTTGAGACCACCCTTCACACTGCGTGCACACTATTTGCTCCCTCGACGCGGACCGACACGACCACTGGGAAACATCAGCTTTCCGACCCTCATGTCCAGCTATGGCGACGAGCTGGTGCCCCATGGAATAAGAGGGAAGCTTCTTCAAATACAGCGGGGGGGTACGACATCCGTCCATCTGGACGTTCTCCAGCGACCCCTTATGCAACAGTGGAACACTTTCGACACTGTATGCCAGATTCACCTCCCTGCCACTCGTGCCAAGACGCTTGCCGTGGAGACCGAAGGGGACGGAAGTGATGGGGCCTTGCCCACCGAACCTCGTTATCAAAACAGTGAAGAACGCGCGCAGCCAGTTGCACGAAATGTCCAGCTCGTTGCGCCGCCATGTTCAGCTCTTGCGTGAGCTGTGGCGTCAGAGAAGGGTGGAGACTGAGGACGTCTTGCGCGCACCGATCAGCATTCGCAGCAGTAATCGACGCTCTCCAACCCTTGACTTACATCATTATTCATGTGAGCCTCTACGTGCCTAATGCTGTTCATGAGGGCCGTGCCCTCAAGCTCGCGGGCGTAGTCCCTAGATTCCTGCGAACTGGTCTGACTGTGCCGATTGCTCTGCCGCGCTTTTCTGAGCAGTTCGAATGGCAGCCGCGCTGTCGGCACCGAGCTCTGCCGGCCTGGTGGCGATCTGTCCGCAGATCGCTATGCCTACATGCTCGGCCATGGCGGGAGGGGGGAGGGCTGCGGGAGCGAGCCTGGCACTACTCCCCCGACGATCGCGAGTGGATCCTCACCTTCATCTGGGCAGACGGCAATCGACCACGAGGCTCGTTGCAGAAGTCGGATGCACGGCTTGCTGCTCGACCCGTCCGGAACCAGCCGACGGGGGGCAGAGTCTGTGAAACTAGCTATCTCCTCGGGTTCCATGTCGAGCGAGTTGCCTTCATGATCTACAGATGCACCTCAGGCGACGTCGACGGACGAGGCAACTCGCTATCCTGATACACGTGCACCCCACTCGTGAACATGAGGAGGTCAGGGTCTGTTCGTGCAGCGTTTACAGAGGCCTCGGGGACCTCTGGAACATTCCTGGCTTCAGTTACTCAATGTACCTGGCACATTCAGAGACTGAGGTGGGCTGTATCTGGTTGGCCACACTCACGCACACCGTCACACAAGTAACCCGCACAAATTGAACGATCGTTAGTCCACAGCCCTGTGCAACCGAAAACATACTTTTGGTACCGCGTCTACTTACGAGCGGCCGAACTCACGCGATCATGAACCAGGAGGCGGAGAAGGAGGAGGAGGAGGAAGAAGAACGCTGCGAGCCGCGTGCTTGAAGTCCGATCAAAGTCAAAAAGCAGGAGGAGGAGGAGGAGGAGGAAAAATGCTGCGAGCCCCGTGCTTCAAATCCGATCAACGTCAACAAGTAGGAGGAGAAGGAGGAGGAGGAGGAGGAGGAGGAAGAGGAGGAGGAGGAACGCTGCGAGCCCCGTGCTTCAAGTCCGATCAACGTCAAGGAGGAGAAGGGGGGGGGGGGGGAGGAGGAGAAAGGAGGAGGAGAAGAGGAGGAGGAGGAGGTGGAGAGGAGGAGGAGGAGGAGGAGGAGGAGGCGGAGGAGGAGGAAGAGGAGGAGAGGAGGAGGAGGAGGAGGAGAGGGGGCTGCTCGGCCTGGGCCGCCTCGGACACCTGCTTGTGCAGCGCCTGCTGGGCGGCGACCTCGGCTCGGGCGGAGGCAGCCCGACCGCACCAGCGGAGCTGCGCCCCCCCGGAACATCATGGCAGAGGCCGGCATGGGCATAACCTCTCCTCCTCCTCCTCCTCCTCCTCCTCCTCCTCCTCCTCCTCCTCCTCCTCCTCTCCTCCTCCTCCTCCTCCTCCTCCTCTCCTCCGCCTGCCCTCCTCCCCCTCCCCCTCCTCCTCCTCCTCCTCCTCCTCCTCCTCCTCCTCCTCCTCCTCCTCCTCCTCCTCAGACATGCTCGCGTCGCGAAGCAATCACGACAGGAGGTCTGGGCCGGTTGCGGCCTCTGGGAGCCCTCGCCGGGGCCCCGGGACCGCCAACCAACGAGACGACCCGGGGCGGAAGACCAGGCCCCGCGGGGAAGACATCGGGCTGCCAGAGGCCCCGCGGGGAAGACATCGGGGCAGCGCACGTCTGAGGCTCCCTGCCGCTCCGGCGGCTCGGGGCGGCAGTCTTCCGCCTCCGAGTGCTCGCCCTCCTCTCCCCCCCGCGGCCGCCCTGCCCTCCGGCCCTGCCCTCCGCGCCCGCATGTTTGGGGCTCCCTGCCGCTCCGGCTGCTCGTGGCGGTAGTCTTCTGCCTCCGAGTGCTCGCCCTCCTCTCCCCCCCGCTACACGCAAGAGTGACCCTCGGTAAGAGTGAGCTGTGGTGCGCGGCATCACGGGGGCGCGGGGGAGCCAAACCCAAGCGCACAAGCCGCTCATATCGCAGCGCGTTCGGCGATTGGGGGACCCATTTGGGCCCGCACCAAAGGTCACTCCAGCGAAAAAGCCACTCTTACGTCTAGCCGATCTCCCTCCCCCGCGACCGCCCTGCCCTTCTTTCTCCCTTCTCACGCATGCCGGCCACTTCGTTCTGTGGTGCCCCTGCATCGCTGCCACGCTGGAGCGGATCGTCCCGCCTCGCTGCCGCCGGGGAAGAAAAATGACTGGGGCTCCCTACCTCCTCCACCCACGTCAAGGCAGTTCCTGTTCAAAGCGGCCTCGCCAAACTGACAGGCCCAACTTCGCTGATCTCTCAAGAGGAACGCGCCTGGTAGTAGAACGGAGAACTTGAAGGGACTTACGACGAGGGGACTCTCGACGGGCGGGTGTATTGCAGCCCCGTTGATGCATCGTTGATTTGTCCTGGACCTCCTTCTCCTCCACTTGTATGTTCTCTGCAAACAGCCCCTGCCTGGCACGCCCCCGGACGTGTCGGTGTGGCGGGCGGGGCGTTGCGCCTAAGCCTTCCCCACCGCCGATGCCCCCTGAAGCTCACAAGTTCGTAGCAGCTTTGAGGATTGAGGGAGGGGCAGGTTTTAAACACGTGGCTCTCGCCTGAGCGCCGCGCACATGCGCCTCCAAAGTCTGCACCAGCTTCCAGGTTGGAGGGCGGCTCCTTCCTTCGAGAGTTCATCCTAATGGTGAAATCAGACACCACGCAAAAACACCACGCAAATACACTACGCAAAAACACTACGCAAAAACACCACGCGCACGCTGGAGGGTGAATTAGACATCACGCAAATACACCACGCAAAAAACACCACGCAAAAACACCACGTAGCGGTTTTGCGTGGTGTTTTTGCGTGGTGTGTTTGCGTGGTGTTTTTGTGCGCCGCTGGGGCGGCGCGGGGACGCAGTGGGGCAGGTCGCGGTTCACGTGGTGTGTTTTTGCGTGGTGTTTTTGCGTGGTGTATTTGCGTAGTGTATTTGTGCGCCGCTGGGGCGGCGCGGGGACGCAGTGGGGCAGGTCGCGGTTCACGCGGCGTGTTTTTTTGTTCTGCGTGGTGTTTTTGCGTGGTGTATTTGCGTGGTGTTTTTGTGCGCCGCTGGGGCGGCGCGGGGACGCAGTGGGGAAGGTCGCGGTTCACGTGGTGCTTTTGCGTGGTGTTTTTGCGTGGTGTTTTTTTGCACCGCTGTGGCGGCGCCGGAGCGCCGTGGGACAGGTCGCGGTTCACGTGGTGTGTTTTTGCGTGGTGTTTTTGCGTGGTGTATTTGCGTAGTGTATTTGTGCGCCGCTGGGGCGGCGCGGGGACGCAGTGGGGCAGGTCGCGGTTCACGCGGCGTGTTTTTCTGCGTGGTGTTTTTGCGTGGTGTTTTTGCGTGGTGTATTTGCGTGGTGTTTTTGTGCACCGCTGTGGCGGCGCGGGGACGCAGTGGGGCAGGTCGCGGTTCACGTGGTGTTTTTTTTTTGCTATGCGTGGAGCGGCGCCAGGGCGCCCAGGGGCGCAGCTGGAGCGCCGCTGCAGTGCCGCTGCAACGCCCCTGGAGCGCAGTGGGGCAGGTCGCGGTTTACGTGGTGTTTTATACGTCGTCCTCCATGTCCTCCTCCTCACACATTTCCTCCTCCTCCTTCTCCTCCTCCTCCTCCTCCTCCTCCTCCTCCTCCTCCTCCTCCTCCTTCAAAGATAGCGGCTGCACCCCTTCTTTGCTCCTGCGCTTCCCTGGCCACCTCAACCTGACCGGGCATCGTTTTTGGATGGGCCAGTGGCGCAGAGCGTCAAGAATCCAGCTCCTACGTCACAGCCGCCGTCATCGTCGCCGCCACTGCTGCCGACGCCGTCGCCGCGGCCGTCGTCGCACGGCCCTGGCAGGGCGGCCGAAGGCGGACGAGGGAGGGTGGAGGAGCCAGAGCAGCGCAAACAGCAGCGGGGGCAGGGGCAGCAGGGGCTCGACTCTCAACCCCCGACCCTCGAACCACGACGTCGGGGAGTCTTTGCGTGGTGTTTTTGCGTGGTGTTTGCGTGCGCCGCTGGAGCGGCGCCGGAGCGCCGTGGGGTGGGTCGCGGTTTACGTGGTGTTTTTGCGTGGTGTTTGCATGCGCCGCTGGAGCGGCGGTTTACGTGGTGTTTTTGCGTGGTGTTTGCATGCGCCGCTGGAGCGGCGGTGGTGTTTTTGCGTGGTGTTTGCGTGGTGTGTTTACGTGGTGTATTTTATTTCACCATTAAAGTATTTTATTTCACCATTAAGGTATTTTATTTCACCATTAAGGTATTCTATTTCACCATTAAGAAATTCTATTTCACCATTAAGATTTCTATTTCACCATTAAAACGCTTATTTCACCATTAGGAGAAACCGTCCCTTCTCAAAGTGGGGTGCTCGTCCTCGCGCTGCGCGCATTCGTGTCAAAGTTTGGCAGCAACTTCAGGAATCGAACGGTCCACGGCCCGGCACTCCCACCCCCAGAGACGTCTGTTCTTGAGGCCCCCGGCTCGACGCTTCCTCGCCCGAAGCCCGCCAACGCCACCCCCCACCCACCCCGCGCCTCCACCACGGCTCGGGACCCCCCACCCCCAGAGACGTCTGTTTTTGGGCCCCCCCCCCAACGCTGTCTCGCCCGAAACCCACCCGAAGGGATGTTTGCAAGAACATGGAATGTGTCAACCCATGAGTCAGAATCAATTGCACCAAATATATTGCACCACGTAGATTGCTTGCACCACAGAATTTGCACTAAAACACACAGCTGGGAGCCCAGACCGGCGAACATGTTTTCCTCTACCTCACCACGAGCACTGCTTGACGACGTCGTCGCGCGGATGTTGCCATCCGCGCGATTCCCACGCCTTGTTTGGGGTCGGCGGCAGAGGCGGCAGCCTTTAAATTGAACGTGTTCAACATGCAGCTCTCGCCTAAGCGCCGCGCGCGCTCGTCTCCCAAGTTCGCAGCAGTTTGACGCATTGAGGGGGCAGTTTCAGAATGCGGCTCTCGCCAGAGCGCCGCGTGCAGTCGCCGCGCGAAAAAATTGCGGTAGCTTCACGGATGGAGGCCGGTTCCTTTTCAGGGTTCGCGCCTTTGCGCCGGGCGCATTCTCGCAAAACCGCGCAGCAACTTCAAACATGGGCCAGTGGTTGTTTTCAATGCGGAGCTCTCGCGTCAGCGCTGCGCGCGTTCATGTCTGATGCATCGTTAAGCAGGATGGGTGGCTGTTCATTTTTTACCTAACAGCGAAGACTGATAGGTTTCTAGTGGGGCCAAAAGACAGCATCCTGACGCCCCAGGGGGGTCTGGGCGGGATCCGGACGGGATCCGGGGACTCCTTTTATAGCCAACAGTTACGCACTTCGTGGTCTTCGAGTTCCCAGAACTCCATTCCTGGGCATGATTTTGAATGCCCGGAGCCAACTGTAGGCCACTTCGTGGTCTTCGAGTTCCCAGAACTCCATTCCTGGGCATGATTTTGAATGCCCGGAGCCAACTGTAGGCCACTTCGTGGTCTTCGAGTTCCCAGAACTCCATTCCCGGGCCACATTTTGAATGCTGCAGGCAGGCTGATGCTGCTGGGCAGGCTGAGGCTGAGGCCGAGGCTGAAGGCAGACTGAGGCTGAGGCTGAAGCAGGCTGAGGCTGAGGCTGAGGCTGAGGCTGAGGCAGGCTGAGCTGAGGCAGGCTGAGGCTGAGGCTGAGGCTGATGCAGGCTGAGGCTGAGGCAGGCAGAGGCTGAGGCCGAGGCTGAAGGCAGACTGAGGCTGAGGCTGAAGCAGGCTGAGGCTGAGGCTGAGGCAGGCTGAGGCTGAGGCTGAGGCAGGCTGATGCTGAGGCAGGCTGAGGCTGAGGCTGAGGCTGATGCAGGCTGAGGCTGAGGCAGGCTGAGGCTGAGCCGAGGCTGAGGCTGAGCTGAGGCTGAAGCAGGCTGAGGCTGAGGCTGAGGCAGGCTGAGGCTGAGGCAGGCTGATGCTGAGGCTGAGGCAGGCTGAGGCTGAGGCTGAGGCTGAGGCCGAGGCTGAAGGCTGAGGCTGAGGCTGAAGCAGGCTGAGGCTGAGGCTGAGGCAGGCTGAAGCTGCTGAGGCTGAGGCTGAGGCTGATGCAGGCTGAGGCTGAGGCTGTGACTGCGACTGCCGTTGCCACTGCGACTGTCATCGCGAATGCGACTGCGACTGCGAGAACAGCAGAATTCTACAACTGGATTCTCATCGGAATCTTAAGGGGAATGCTTCCAGGTATGCTTCTACACATCGTTGTTAGGTTGCTTTGCCGGGATAATTGTTTCAAGC